TATGGTAGCAAACATTCGCGTGTTTAGTTGAGCACCTTCAAGAGGAAAACAGAACTGCTTGATAAACAATTATTTAGAGTCCGATAATAAAGTTTAATGTTGAGATGAATAGTTAATTAGTAACTGCAATAACATAACAGCCTCTTAGTTACTCATTTGACTCTATATGAGTTATTCCTACGTCACGCACAACGATATAACCAGAAACATGTTGTTCGGTTTTAGTGCTTTTTTGTACTGGTCTCTCTTCAGTTTCTTATCATGAGTTTGAGTCGGGAGTTTGTTCTTGTGTGCGTGAGTTGATTTGGTGAAACATGTACAGAGCAAAAACGTAAATACTCCTTTCAGCTTAAAAGGGTTTACCATTTTTGTTGTAAATATACTCTTGATGAATTGATTGTTTATTCATTTCTTATGATAAAAACAAAATGCCGCGATTAATTGATTGTATAAGACGTTAACTCGTGGTGAGTTTAGAGTTCTAATTCATATGTTTTGTACTACTTGTGACCATAGGGTACACTAAACACAGTGCATTTAATGCGGTGCATTATGTCCAGAAAACCAATGTTGTTATGAACTCATTAATGATGAAAATATAAACTACTTTTCATATATTTACATTTTTTAAGTGCTTTGGATAACCCGATGCAAGCATGAATAAAAATAATATCGGCATGTTTTTCTATTTGTGCATGGGGCATAAAGTTTGGGGACAGCTTGTTATCGCGGGAAAATGTAAAACTTTCGCTTGGGGTCCTAGCAACAGCATGACAACAAAACAAACAAAACAAAGCTCCATTTTCAAAATTTAACTTGAAGAACTTACACACCTCATTTTAGCTTTAAAATCAAGTCTATCATGTTTAATGTTAATTGTTTTATCATAACTAAACTTCATCGAGGGGGGTTTCACGGCGGACGTATACCAATTACGACCTTTGCTACGTCATTGTAATGTATCAATACGCAGAGACGAGGTCACCTGTGTTATGCAAAAATGAATGTCATTTTCGTCCAAGCATACAGAATGTAGATATATATCGTCGTAATAAACTTGTCAACCGACAAATAAAGTAAGCGGGGATTGTATATCATTTTAAAGTCAACGCTTTCTCGAGCTCCTTCAGTTAGGCGGCTAAATGTGACGTTTCTTAACGCCAGAACATATATATATGGCCGACATGTCGGATGATGAAGATGACATTGTTCACCGAACGACATCGCGTACGGGTCCAATTCGAGCAGTTATTATTTAGTGACTTTGTGACAAAATAAGTCATGTGTAATGGTGCCTCGCTTTCAATCGGACTATTTTCAGGTTGTTTTGGATAGTTTGTTCGGGTTCACGACCAAGTCAGATCTTTTCGGTCTCACTCGCAGGAACAATGCGATTAGGAAGATGCTTCAGCCGAAACAGGAAGTTTTCCTGAGCTGTCGTTACGCTAAGCTTGCCTCCTCGCTGATGGTTGGACGTCGACCCAGTTTGGTTCAGACCTTGTCTTCGCACTGAAAACCGTAAAATTTGACATTACGACACTCCCTCATGTAGAATGCCAACTGACCATCATCTCTGAAATTGTGGCAGTCTCGGAATAATCCAAAAATGTTATTGGTAAAAAAATCATCAGTTTTCAGTCGTCATGGGATTACAGAATTACAATTACGTAATTCAAGAGTTGTTTGCAAAATCGCATGATGCCAATGTCGACGTTCACACTTGAATGATAAAATCAATAGCGTTAATTGCTAGGTAGTCCATTCCCAAATGTTTATACTGCAACAACGTTGTTCCATGTTTTACCGATATAGATGTTTTCCTCAGAGAGGTGGTTTTTCTCACTTTTTAGCTGAGTATATATTTTCAAAAATGATTAAATGTTTTCAATATATTATATAAGTAGACGTTTCTCCAATGACTAACTTGATGTAATTATTATTGATTAAAGCTTAAAATAGCTCCGCAGCAATATTAGCAGTTGTCACTTAAACACCTTATATTATATAAAACAAACAATGCATTTGTTTTGTCAAAACAAATCTTTATTACCTTTAAAGCGTTTGGACTGATTGAAATCGTAAATTATAGTAATAATCTAAACAAATAGAAATTTATTAAATGTATGGAATATAACATATATCAAAGATATATCCCACTGATAAGAACAATTATATTCATCCCATCAGTTTTGAGTATAAGAAATATCCTATACAGTATGTGTACAATATTAGATATATGCCTAAATGTGTACGACAAAGATGAAATAACATTAACCTAGCACAAATATGATAGTTAAGGTACATACAGTCGAACCTCGTTATCTCGAACTCTTTTAAATCGAAGACCCCGTTTATCTCGAAGTATTTCTTCGGTCCCGGCCAAATCTCTTCTTTATCTTAGTAAATAAAACTTTGATAATTCGAACCCTGAAAGGTCGAAAAACTCGGATACCTCGAAGTAAAATGTTGGTTTCAATAGCGTTAATCCAACATCAAAACATCGTCTACATCATAGTGTTCGAATGTCATTTATCACTGATTAATTCTTTGATACAAATAAAACGCAAAAGTACGACATTTCGCCATTCCGTGTTTATGAACATCTTTCGTGAGTAGACTAGCATGAAATAGGTAAAAAAGAATTTACTATAAAGCTTAGGACTGTAAAGTTTACGGACTGTCTTAACCATGTTATTCATAATAAAAAACAAACTGTATCAATTTTGATCAACAGTAATCTGAACTTACTGCGAGTCCTTTTAAGGAGGCTCCAACCTTTCGCAATTAGCCAGCAGAATTCAATGAAAGTTTCACATAATGGTTATGTATGTCACTATGTAGAGATGATTTTATGAAAATCTAAGCATTCCGATAAACTGGGGATTTTTTTTGTAAAACCCCCCCCCTGAAAATTCGATTTTTGGTTAAATACATCACTCTCACATTTTTTAACGTGTGGCATTGTTCAAAACTATTAAAACAATAAAATAATGAAAAGAAACATCAACCTTACAAACGTTTTATTTATCATAAAATATCTACAACATGTTCCGGAAAGCGTGTTTTATTGAAATTGTATGGATGAAAGTTACTAAATACTAGCTAAAAGCAAACAGGACACATAGTTTCATACAAAAAGAGTGAAAAATTGAACCAAATACACACAAAGTATTTATAATTCAATTAGTTTCCATTTAACAATACTTTTGATCATGATGAGTTGTCTATCTTGAAAAAAGCGGAACTTTTGCAGAGGGATAGAATATTTACCATGACACTTATTTTCTTTACTATACCAAAAACGACGGAAATAAATTAAATTACTATATTTAATTGTCAATTTACTGTTCTTTTAAGGAACAGAATTACTCTCAATCATGTACACTTTGGACATCATTCCATAGCCCGCTTACGCATGGTATATTAACATGTCAGGTGCATATGTAACCATAGGCTATCGCATGGGATGCCGTTATTACGTGCACGCACATGCACTTGCATTTTATAGGGATCTTTATATTTTACAAACCACTATTTTTACACTTTTTTCTTTCATTTAACTTATTATTTATAATCCCTATTTCTTACCAAAGTCATTGTCAGTAGGTGCACTTAAGAACCTTATCAAGGACACATATTTTACTCAGAGATATATTGCTTTTAATAAAAGTGAATTATTTTTATTGAAATTCAATACTGAATGGAAAAAATGGGAAAGTCTAATTAATATTGCTTAAACCCTGTCTTTGCCAAAATATGAACATTAAACTAGAATTTGCTTATATAAATGTGTTCTTCCAAATTACTTATATGTAAAACTCCTTGAATTTTCCGACACATCTATATAGCTTCTTTGTCTCCAAATCTCCACCCCCTCCACCCTCCCCCCACCCCCCAACATTTTTTTTTTCTTTTTTTT